CCTTGCAAAACTAAAATGAGCCACCTTAGAATCACTTCGTTTTGTTACTGTTTACAGCTACCTTCAGGAATAGATAGTTAATTTCTTGACTAAACATTAAGTGCAAGATGGTATATTCTAGACGTTGTGTTATTGTCTGACTACTGTAACCACATACTGAAATGAAAGTTTGCCAATCACTGATACAAATGACACAATAATTGCAATGAGAACTTCAATGTAATTCCACTGAGGTGAATTTTGTATTGTACTAAGCAGTCAGATTTGTTAAGATAATTAAAGTGGGAAGTGGTTGTTACTTTTTTCTGTTAAAGAAGTTGATGCAATAATAAATTTATTTTTCCCTGCATGCATGTGAAGATCAATTTCCCTCTTGCACAATTTTGTTATGAAACCCTTGCTTATGTGGAGCTTATATGGATAGAATTCCACCATACACAACACTATTAATCCCTTATTTCCTTCCCAAAACTAGTCCTTGCACAAGTGAATGGTACTCTAACATGGTGCTACACGAAAACACAACAGTATTTAAAAGCAATGATACAACGTTAACAGTAATACAGTAATTTCTTGTTAACGGGTCTTCAGAAACTCGTCTGCAGACATTTCAGCAAAACGTGTCTTGTATTGCACAATTGCATGTAGACATCTTTTAAATAAGAATGTAAAAAAGAAGTAATAAAGGGGCATGACGAAATTATCTTAGTGAGCAAAGAAGCTCAGAAAGTGGAGCCTTGGGGGAGGTGAGAGAAAGGGGAGGGCTACTTTTCTCATGGGAAGTGGAGGCTGGGGGGATTGAAAAACGATGGTTCAACCCCACTTCCCAACTGTTCTTATGCTCCATCTTGCCTGTTTCTGTTTCTTGAAGTGATAAATGTACATCCCTCTAAGTACCCTCTGAATGTGTGATAATGTCAAGAGCTTTGAGATACAAATCAATTCCGAAGTTAGGTGATATCCATGTAGCTGGAATTTCAATGCTCAGCTGCTCCCTGCAGTTGTCGCTCAGCTGAAATGATGGAGGGTCAAATATTGGTCTACCAGACCCATCCTCGGCTTCATCGTCAATAAAACCTTCGACCCCATAAGAGGGAATGGCCTCACCTCTCAATTCTATTCCTACTGGGTTTTGAAGTTGACCTGCGACCCACATTCTAATAGGTGATGATCTTGTAGTTCGCATTCTGTGCTGCGACCAAGCCCTGTTCCAAATGTCTAGCTTTTCTTGGATTTTAGATAGATAAACATGATGAAGAGCAGCCAAATGAAGATCATTCAAATGGTCTAAAATTCCCTCATCTTCCATGAAGTAGAATAATTGATAATGAAGCCCCAGAACACCCTGATATACGTCTTTCCACAACCGTTCGATCCGTTGGTTGTGGGTACTCTTTCCTGTTATGGCACTTCCTCTATCTCTCCCCCTTCTTGATATCATGTAGTCAACGATACTGACATTCTCACGACCCTGATCGGTTCGAATTCTGCTCGGTAAGCCAAACCTGTCGACTGCTTCTAAGAAAGAAGCCAGAACTGTCGCTGCCTTGTTGTTGTCTGCACACTCTAACATTACTGGTAAACGGCTATAGCCATCAATTCCACCAATGATAATAAAGTTCCACCTCACAAGTTTATGGTTAGTGTCAATATGCCACAAATGGTTAGGGCCTTGGACATTATACACTCTTCGTTGCAACCGGCCTTTCTTTCTCTCGCGTACTCCTTCCAGATCTACACGGTGAATGCTGTCTCGAAGCCGCATCCTTTGCACTTTAATGCCTCTTTCTTGTAGGAGAAACTTCATCATTCCTTCTCCACATAAGGGAAATTCCTTCGATAATTCTGTAATATGGCGATCAAGCTCTCCATCCGAAATGTCACTAAAATCTTGAGAGCTCAGACCGTAGCTTTGCATTCTACGATAAATTGTGCTCTCCGAGACGGACAACATAGAAGCAATTTCTTTAATCATAAAACCTTCCTCTAAATGATTCTCGAGGACTGACTTTGGGATGTTGAACTCTGGAGCTCCAGACCTTAGACGTTTTCTTTGAGGCTTCCGTCTGCCGTAGATAGCGCATTCCACTCGTAAATTCATCATGTCAGCCCGGTTATTTACACCCAGTTGATTCATTTCACATACAGATAGCAGTGGAATTACATCAGGAGTGATTTTCTCCTCTTGAAATACTTCAATTAGATTTTCTAACTTATGTCGTTTGAGAATGGAGACCATAAGTTCCGTCTTATCCGCCATTTTAATTTCCGATTGGAAAAAGAGCGGGAAAAGCGAGAATTGCATTCTGGTATATTTTTTACCCTACCCCAGACCTCCTCCGGATTCCTACGCAAAACGGAAGTCTGGTGACGATCATATTGAAGAAAGCACCGAATATAATGAAATAAGCACCGAATATAATGACAAAAGCACCGAATATAATAAAGAAAGCACCAAAGGAAGTGAGCACCGAATATAATGAAATAAGCACCGAATATAATGAAGTAAGCACCGAATATAATGAAATAAGCACCGAATATAATGACAAAAGCACCGAATATAATGAAGAAAGCACCAAAGGAAGTGAGCACCGAATATAATGAAATAAGCACCGAATATAATGAAGTAAGCACCGAATATAATGAAGTAAGCACCGAATATAATGAAGAAAGCACCCAATATAATGAGATATGAACCCAATATAATGACAAAAGCACCGAGTATAATGACAGAAGCACCGAATATAAAGACATAAGCACCCAGTATAATGACATAAGCACCCAGTATAATGACATAAGCACCGAATATAATGAAGTAAGCACCGAATATAATTGACAGAAATATCATAAGACAGTTGTGGCGTTCCATACATTTCGCCACAAATTAATCCTCACAACTTGTATAATACAATCTGATATACATGCTTCCATTATTTCACACTTTAGTCTACATTTTACCCCTGGTCTGTAGTCTTCGTTGCATGCAGTTCGCACTCTGCGTTAATACACTGACCGGATTTATTCGTAATTTCTGAAACTATTTACGTCCGAGCTTAAAAATTTACGAAATCATGTCTTCTTTCGACAACTTGAAGTATTTTGATACTTACCGATGGAGTTAATGAACAGCCATCACAAACGTATAGTGATGTATTAAATCACCTAACCTAGATGCATCGAACGACAATAACGCTAAAATACAAACGTTGACAGAAACACTGCACAACACTACTGAATAAAATCGACCCAACCAGATTTACCTCCAATCAACTGTTGACAAGAGATCATGACAAACTCCTAAAGCACATTTCAAATTATCTCCTCAATTTGACCACTTTCCGTAAAAACAACGAAATGTAGAAAGAAAGCCTGTACATTGCAGTAGCCGCTCTCTTCGTCATTCTTCTAAACATCAACAACAGTATAAACAAAGATGGCCGTCACCAAATGACTCTTAAAATCGATATCTACTCGGATTTACTCGGATATTATCATTGGTTGTTCATAGTAGCCCCAATCTGATTGGTGTGACATACATGGCAGCAAGATTGCCCGTCCAAACCGCCGACTAAGAGTATTTTTTTTAGAAAAAAAAAATAACTCAAAAATAAAAAATCTTTAAATGAAAAAAACAAAACAAAACAAAAACTTTGTTCTGTTTTCAATTATTACGTTATTGACATGCGCACACTGTTTTGTGTACGATTATTATGTTAGTGACTTGCGCACTCGGTTTTGTGTTTGATTATTACGTTAGTGACTCGCGCACTCTGTTTTGTGTTTGATTATTACGTTAGTGACTCGCGCATTCTGTTTTGTGTTTCATGCGCACTCTGTGTTGTGTTCGATTATTACGTTAGTGACTTGCGCACTCTGTTTTGTGTTTGATTATTACGTTAGTGACTTGCGTACTCTGTTTTGTGTTTGATTATTACGTTAGTGACTCGCGCACTCTGTTTTGTGTTTGATTATTACGTTAGTGACTTGCGCACTCTGTTTTGTGTTTGATTATTATATCAGTGACTTGCGCGCACTGTTTTATGTTGATCATTACGTTAGTGACTCACGCACTCTGTTTTGTGTTTGATTATTACGTTAGTGACTCGCGCACTCTGTTTTGTGTTTGATTATTGCGTTAGTGACTTTCGCACTCTGTGTTGGGTTTGATTATTACATCAGACAGTTACTCGCGCATTATGTTTTCAGTCCGAACATTTCGTTAATTACTTGCGCACTCTGTTTTGGGTTTGATTATTACGTTATAGACTCGCGCACTTGTTCTATGTTCTATTACGTTATTTTGCGTTACTTAACATATGGTGACACAGCCTTTTAAAATTTTGAACAAGGAGAGAAGAGAAATGAGCAAATACGTGTATAGTAAAATCGAACAACGTGCGTTTCGATGTCTCCATTACATCATTTTTTTTTCGTGTGTAGTTATCTGGATTAATTGAGAAATAGTAGCTTTCGTCACTGAGAGAATAATATATTTCTCATATTTCTACTATCATTTATCTCCATGACGTTTGTCACATTTGAACCTAAGCTCCCAGGGCCGGGTTGTTCAAAGGACGATTAAGTTAATCCAGGATTAGTGCGAATTTTCATGTCGGTTTTGCAACTTTTCAGTGAGGTTTCTGTTTATACTTTTTGTCTTTCTGTTTTGACTTTGACTAATCTTAAACCTTACAAAACATTGGCAGAGAAAACACGTTTATACAAGAGAAATTAAAAGCTTGATTAACTTTTAATCCGCCTGGATTAGCGTTAATCGGCTTTCGATTAACCGAACCCAGGAGTTTCCTGTAGCTGAATGGTGGAGTCGAGCCTTGACCTGTGTGCGGAAGTTCATACGTTTGACTCCTGTTGGGGGAGTTCGGAATTGTTTTCCAAGGAGCTTGTGTCACTGACTGATAAAGCATATTTCTCAAAGAGGTTATAGTTTAAAAGTTATATTTTGGACAGGAAGCTCGGAAATATTAATTAGATAGGTGGAAGACGCGGCGTCGTTATGGTTAGCGCGTTGGACTCCGGATCAAGCGGTCCGGGTTCGGGCCCTGGCCGCGAGTCATTGTGCAACCTTGTTCCCAGGGTCTCTCATCTTCCCGCCCCCTGGGAACGAGGTTGGTCATTGCATTGCGTTCTTGCATGGGCAGACACTTTACTCTCACAGTGCCCTCTCCACCCAGGAGTATAAATGAGTACTATAGCGACAAAATGCTGGGGTAACCTGTGATGGACTAGCATCCCATCCAGGGGGAGTAGCAATACTCCTTGTTGCTTCACGATACAGAAACTGGGATAGACTCCGGCAGTTGTGGGCCATTAGGCTCGAGAAGAATTGACCCCGGGGTCGTTTATTTAACTCTCGACCTTATAGACCCGGCGTTTATTTGAACCCGGCGTTTATTCGGGGCCCGGGGGGCTTTTAGAGAGGAGGGCCTTATTACAAAATCTGACTTCCAAATGGGGGGCTTATTAGATGGGGGGGGGGGGGGGGGCTTAATAGAGCTTTTACGGTACTCGTGTACTGTAATTGCACCTCATTCAAGTTACAGTCGAAACTCCCGTAAGCGGACACCCTCGGGGAGCAGAAAAAGTGTCCGGAACTGGAGCATGCCGCTTACGGGAATGTGTAAATAAAGAGTTTGTATGAGCTAGAGTTCAAACGGGTTTTTTTTTTCAAGGCGGCCGTAATGAGACTGAGCTATCTGCTTACGAGAGTGTCCGCTCAGAGAGCTTCGACTGTATTTCTTTCAACAATTATTTCACCTAAGGGGCTATTTACATGGAGAGAAGTTGTCCCTGTTAGGAGGGTTACCCTCCCCCCGAGCCATCTTTTACCGAGCATTTATATGAAAACAGTTGTCCCTGCTTACCGAGCCAAAACGTGGCCCTCTCGGACTCGCGTGTGCTCTATATGTCCCGACTTGTTTCTGGTAGGTTTTATATGGAAAAACGTTGGTCCGCCTCCCAGGGTCACCCTACCTTCAAAGCGAGTGACCCTCCTGCCAGGGTCACCCTGCCCTCCGAGCCAACTTTGCGATTTCTCATGCAAACGGTTCCCTGCTATTTATAGAGAAATGTATGAAAAGTTATCTCGCCCGCGGGTTGCTCGGTATGGAGGGTGGCCCTCTTACCAGGGACAACTTTTCTCCATATAAACAGGCCCTAAATTATATAATATATTGCATTGCCGTATTACTGCAATGAGAATGCTCGGAGAAAAAAATGCAGCAGTGATGCAACAGATTTACATAAGAACTGAAATGCAAATAGTTCAAATATTGGCGACGTTTTTGTCAGTGATTGGTTCCAGTTGTTAATCCATATTCATGACTACTTGTAGAATTTATTCAAACCAAAAAATTCAAACCAAAAATTCAAATCTCCAAATGGTGAGTGTACATTCATTCAAGTTGTTACGTTTTGTATGTTTGCTTCTTCGCCAAATGGAACAATTTACATCATGCTTTACGTTTCTTCGTTCGCTCGCAATTTAGTTGAGCTGCGTGTCACTCTGTTGCTTAACCAAATAATCGTGGTTTTTCCTAATAACTCAATAAAGGATTAAAAAATAATTTTAGTGCAATTTTGTAACGTATTTACGCCAAAATTGTTTTACATTTTCTTGGTTTTCGCCGTTATGTGCGGCGCGAGTAAAAGTTTAAAACAGTTACCATGCACGTGTTGTTCGTGTAGAGTTTGGTCGCTGCCTGGCGTGCACTTAAGCATAAATTTATCTCGAGAAAAATTACTCTACAAAAACTATTCGGATAAGAGTAAACCGATATAGGGCGGAGTACAATGTTGAATAGGGTTTTTACCAAGGATTTTTCGTCACCGGACATCTACACATAACATTGTAAAATCAAAATCTTAAACATTTAAAATGCTTTGTAGCTTTCGCCGCCTGTAGCTTCTACTGTTTAAAGCTCTGTAGCCATAACCTAACGTTTCTCTTTGTCTCGTTTATTTTAGAGAGAAGAAATGTCCAAATAAAGGAAGACGAAGAGTGGATTTCATTGGTATGAAAGGATGGACAGTGGTGAAGACTCCGTGGATTAATCAGAATTGGGACGACTAAAGATAAGAATGTTATTGCCAAATTTAGGATTAAAAATGGTGGCAATATATATCAAACTCAAACCGTTCGATTAGTTGTTTTGATTTTTGTTTTTATACCTTCAAGTCGTGGTGCATTTGGTTTCAAAAACCATTATAGCCATTTCACTAGCTCCCTGACCTACGGAAGGAATTTGAATTATTGAAATATACTAGCCACCATTTTTTCGAAAGGATTTAGGAATCGTTTTTTTTAAGCGGTTGTCCAAAATAGCATTCGTGAAACCAAAGCGACCGGGTTACTGTCCAACAAATTAAACAAAAAACAGGCTTTAAAACAGCGTTCATAATTTCGGGCTAATTGTATTTTTTGGGGGAGAGGATTGGGGTTGGGGTGGGTGGGGTTAATACCTGATTACATATCGAATTGTCTTGGAACAGGACAGTACCAAAGTAATTGGAAATTATTTTCTGGGAAACCGCTCCATATTTTGTTCTGTATCGATACAATTGATTTTGAAATTGTTTTTGAGTGGTGTAATAACGTGAAGCTTTGTTAAGGTGGCACTGTATCGCGATCGACATATCAGGGAAAAACATCTGATCGATCTGATGACGGTGTTATTTTTTATAGAAACGTTGGCTCAAGGGGAGGGGCTTGTAGCTCGGCAACAAACAAGAAATTCAGTTTAGACTTCTCAATTATTAATTCGAGTTGAAAGCGCCACCTTACGAACATTTCACGTTCTATACCACCAGAAAGCTAAAGTTAGTTTGCGTACTGTAGTCATGACTGTTTGAAGGGCTCTCCATGAAATACAAATTACTCTAAAAAGCATCTTTAAAATTTCAGTGATCGGCTGAGGACCCATTTTGGTGGGGATTTCCTCTTTCCCTTTACTTATTTTGGCGTATTGGCAATCCCATACGGGAACGTTTGTTCGAGTCCTATACATTGAATGGAGAACCTTTCTATTAGTTATGTGATCTTGGTACTATAAAGTTTAGACTTTTACAAATCAATATCTGGTTCATACGGGATGTCGCAAAATGAAACAAAGCAGACAGCAAGCAACACTGATAAAGAACATCGTCTAAGATAAATTGTCTTGATATACCACCAAATATTATTTCTCAGAACTATAAGTTTTTCAGAAAAACGAATAAAAAACGGACAGCTAGAAACATTGATAAAGAAAATCCACTAAGAGAAATTATCTTGATGTTCCACCAAATTAATTCTCAAAACTTAAGTTAAAAGCAACGTATGTCAATAAGTAAGGAGCATTGATATTTTTTTTTGATCTTGAGTATGAAAGAGTTAAGGATCATGGAACACAGACCACAAAACAGAAAACGACGTGTTTCTGTAAATACTATAAAATTAATTTGGAATTCATGGAAAGAAAATTCAGAAATATTTTTATAACCCATTGATGGTACTTTTCTTTCCAAAAATATGTTTCTTTTCAAATACTATTGTCTCTAAAATAATCTTTTATGAACCTATTTGTCTTGGAATGGTGTAACACAATTATTCACTGAGTAAGTAACATTTATACCGATCTTTTTCTAAACAATAATGTTCAGCTGTGAAGTACCAAATTGTTTTTTCATTCAGAATATTTCTCGCGAATTTCGCTTTTACAAAACCTTCATTTTAATATGTAATTGTCATCATTACATCTCTTGTTATTTCTTGCGTTTGAATTTTAACAATTTTGCTTCTGAACGTCCCAAAACAGAGAAAGTTTGGAGATGATTTAAAAAAAAAAGATAAAAATTTCGGATTTCGATTTCTTTTCAAGACAATAAATTTATACAATGGATGTAATTAATCAATCAGATTTTTTCCTTGTAGTCCGTAAATCCTTATATAACTTGTTGATCAATATATTTCAGTTGAAGCCCAGGAATATTTTGCGTTGTTTTGATTTGTTGGCAAAAGAAATAAAAGGATACAGCTATAGTGAGAATGATAAAGATATAACAGGCTAAGAGTAATTGTGTTGATGTGCCACCAAATTCTCAGACGGATGTTAAAAGCAATGTATTGCAATTTGTAAGGAGAATATTTAAGAGAGCATCTCCACAAGAATCAAACAAAATCGGAAAATAGCGGCAAAAATGTGAAAACTCAAAAACGCTCAAACTTTGGCTGTTAGTAGTCCATATTGAGTCATTCATTGCTATGTGGTTCATTTGTCAAATAATTTATTGTTTTGGCAGAAAATGACGAAAATCAATTTCAGGGCTCCATACAAGAAAATTTGGCTTGAAAATTAGCCATTTTTAAGCGAACCGCTTGCTTTAACTATTAATCCAGAAGACATCCACTTGATATCAGCGTATTCTACGACTATTCGAGGTTTTATTTTATAATTTCCATAAAGATTGAAAAACTTATGACACTGAGAGAGGCCTGAAAAAAATCCCCCTGTTTCTCTATGGCAATTACTAGCTCGATTGAAAAAATTATTTACCCTACTACCTTTATCACAAATCAAATGAAATTTAGGAATTACACTAAGAAGGAAATGACCTTTCAACTGATATAATTTTTTTTCTGGGGAAATTATATTGCGCTCTGTGAGAGAGCGCTCAAAATGGCCAAAAAATGATATACGTGACTAGTGGATTGCGTGACATACCGTGACCGTAGCACATATTTCAGTGCTGCTTTAATCAAAGAAATGGTAAAATCCAAATTCCTGCCTTGGGGATATTAAAAAACACTTTCTTTTGAGAATCTCAGTATTTTTCGTACATCATTGATGCTTCCCACGATGATGTGACGTAAGAAAATGGTTTATTTCACTGTGTGAATTGTACTTTGGCTTATAAGAAATTCTCTGATATCCACGCTATTTGAACTTAATCTTGTGTAATCTTGTTGTTTTTCTAACATTCATTCTCAGCTAAACACTTCCCCGGTTGGGTGCTAATTTACATATCATACATGTATGTGTTACTAGAGGGTTACCAACTTTAAATGTATAAATACCA